AGTTGTTTAAAATGTATTTTTTTTCTTGAAATAAGTTTAATATCCGTAATTTGCACTACATTGTATACCGAAGTGCTGAAAATCAATAAACGTTTAATTTTTTAACCTAAAAAATTGAATATTTTAATCGACCCCGATAACTCGAAACCCCGCTAACTCGAACAGATTTTCGTTTCCCTTCAGAGTTCGAGTTAGCGGGGTTCTATTGTAGTCTACTGGAAGGAGTGTGAAGCCTTGGAGCCGAATGGCTCATAGCTGCCAGAGCTTATCCCGGTTTCTGTAGTATGAAGCGGCCAGGAGTATTTCTACTCCCCCTGGACGGGATGCTCGTCCATCGCAGGTCACTCCCCCCAATTTGCCACTACCCGTGTATACCCCTGGGTGGAGAGAGACACTGTGAGAGTTAAGTCTCTTGCCCAAGGACACAACACAGTGTCCCCGGCCAGGGCTGGAACCTGGACTGCTCACTCCAGCAACAAGCGCACTAACCATGAGGCCACCACGCCTCCCACCTATTGGAAGGAGGGTGTATAGTTAAATTATCATAACGGTGTTACCAATTATTGGAATCTACATGCCTACCTTTCTTTTGCATTTGCGACTTGTTCTGTGACACAGACCACACAGGTCGCATCTTTTAGCATGCCTGGGTTTTTTCACAGTTGTGGCACCAAGATCGTTTAGTTCTTCATAGTACAAACTTGCATGATCGTCAAGAACATAAAAAGGTCTCTCATAACGAGTTCCACACTTTTCACATTTCTCAATGAAGACATTGCCATGCAGCTCAGATAGGTTTGTTGATGGAATTCCTGAGAGGCCATGAAGTCCGTCACCATTTTGACTGATGATATGTTTGATTAATCCTAACTGAACTAATTTGCAAAGAGCTTCATGGGTGTATGTAGGCCGTAGTTCTTCATATGGAACACCATCATCGACACCATTATCATGCTTGCCATTATCACTGTCATCATCATTATCAACATTACCATGTGTGCCAGAAACATCCTCAGTTCTAGCCTTCTTCTGTTTGGGCTCATCACCTTGATTCAGAATTTCTGTATTGAGATTTCCTCTGTATAAAAAGAGTAAGGGCTCTTATTCTGAATATGAAAATTTTAAACCTGTCACTGATTAGTCTAAGATATGTACAAGGACCATTTTTTATCAGTTTTATGGCCCAAATGGGAGCCATCTGGGCTGTGAATCGGTCAGGGAAAAGAGGATCTGCATCTTATTGTACTCACTAGCAACACCTAACCCAACCACTGTACTGATGTATGAGCTCTCAGACAAACAGACAGACAGACAGACAGACAGACAATCAGCCTTCCGTGCCTATTGTGGGGTTGTGTGCTTTAAAACCTCAAAAGTGTCAATGTAGATTTTTGTTCTTTGGTTGCATGGGCTTCCAGAGGGAATTCCTTGCCAAGGCATCTATATACCTGGATCAAAATCGCTCCCACCTCCCCCGCCCCGCCCCCGCGCTTCCGACTACCCCCACCCAGCTTAAACCCACCAAAAATAAAACTACCGGGACTCCGGTAATTCCTGGGTAAGGTCGGGCAGGTGTACATATTCTTCGTTGGCTAAGGCATTTTACCTGTCTTCCTCGGTCCACTTGCCCGATTTCCCTCGATAATCTCCGATACCAGCCGATGTAGAAATCCCAGCACCCGTAAATGCAACACAGTGTTCAGCGTTCTTGATGAGATCAGCAATTCTCGAAGCTTCGTTGGCTAAAGTATCAAGCGAGTCATGGAACTCGGCCGTTTTCAAAGCTTCTTTCACCAGAGTCTTCTCGGCTGCGCTCATTACAAACGGGGCACGCTTTTTACTCCTCATACGACATGTTTTAACCACTAAGTCCCAACAATCGCGGTGAAATACGGCGTCTCCGATTCTTCTCCATTTTACCTTCGGTTCCTGTAGTTTCGAGAAACCGCCCTTTGGCACAGAAGCACGAACCTCCACTCTCCCATCTGAAGTCGTAATACGGCGAAATTGACACTCGTCAAAACTGCAGCAATGCATATTTTCAGTGCCTTTGACTTCATCCATGTCAAAGATGCAGGAAATTTGCTCGATTATCTTTCCCGCGAATGTCCCAGCGAATAGAACTTTAGGACCCAGTACAACTCGACCATTTATTAGAACTGGGGAGGGGGTGGGGAGAGTGACGTTAACTGATTTCCAGTCCTTACTGCACACTCTCGAGAGTTTGTTTGCGCTTTTTGTTTTGTTTCATGTAAGACATCACAAAATGTAAACATTTTGCAACTACTTACATGAGGTAAATTCTGAGCAATTCAATTCAAAGCAACCACCATTATGGATGGGAAGCAGTCGAAGCTTTATGCTTCGTTCTTTCTCATATCACTTGATGAAACAACTTTGCAGCTGTAAAAATCAAGGAAGCCGTTATGGAAAAAGAATTTGAAAGGCCTCAAAGATAAGATAAGTGGTTCATAACAAATAACATTGATTTGCATTCCATTGAGTGAGACTTACAATGTTTATAAACATTAGGGTGCCGAGACTGCGCAGTACGGACTGGAAATCATCTTTAAAGAGCTCAAAATAAATATCGAAATAAACATCAAAAATCAAATAAAAATCAATTTTTATTAGCCAATGATTTGAAAACTCCTTATAATGAATTAGATTCCATGGCACATGATGATATAAATTAAGCCTCAGCCTACATTTTACATGTGCTTGCCATGAAAACTGCTTTCCTCACAATCAAACAACAGTGTGAACTGAAGACTCTCCATATACATTGCAGCAGAGCATGACGAGAAATGCGGCCAGGGGGGAGGTCCATATGAGCTACCACCCTACTACCAGTACCTTACATCTGCTATACACAGATCAAATCTTCAAACATATGTAGTCTTAGTAAAGGGGTAACTGGAACTTGAAAGGTGGTAGATTTACCATTCACAGTCATGCCAGATCTTTTTGGACAACTTTACCATCTGCCTTGATCTTAGTCAGAAAGTAAGTCAAGTATAACAGCCTTTCCATGATTCTCTTGGCAAAAAAATCTGCACAGCTTAATGCAATAATTGTACAGTATTATCAATTATCCATTCACTTTCTTCTCAATCTCTTGACAAAAGTAACCTCATCTTTACTTTGAATGCCATAGCTATAGAAAAAAAAAATTGGATGTCTCAGCCAAAATACAGACTGAGCTAAAAATATACATATTTTTACCTTGGACCACAAATATTTATCATGACAGACCTGGTGAGCTAATCATTAGTGCACTGGACTACGGATCAGGTTTGAACCCTGGTCAGCTGGTCATTGATGTTGTGTTCTTGGGCCAAACCTTACTCTCACAGTGCCTCTCTCCACCCAGGTAATTTATAATGAGTACGTGCAAATTTAGTGCTGGGGGCTAACCCTGTGATGGACTAGCATCCCATAATCACTTCATTCAGTTTAGAAACCAAAGATAAGCATTGTCCTGTTAGGCAGCATAGTGGCATTTGGTTTCTTTCATTCATAAATATGTCCCTCTTCCTTGACATTTCATGATTCCTGTTAGTTATTTAACCTTAATTAATTTAATGCCAGACAATTTGAAGATTGTGCCCTGGTAGTGTGGTTCTTGGGTGATGGACAGGGGTGGGGTGGGGTGAGCAATGCATGGTTTAACATTTCCTCAGAATGTATCAATTAGGGTTCTTATGATTACGGTGAGAAACTCCATTATCGGAAAATCAACCTAACACCATTTTCAAAATTATCATAACAAACAGTTGGCTATGTTTCCTTTATCATTACGAGGTTCAACTTACTACTTGAGAGGTTGATGGTCCTCTGTCAGCTTTTGTCCTTGAAATGACAACCAGTAGGTTTTCCATACATGCTTCCTGTTAGATGTGTTCCAGAGCAATAAGTTTGAAAAATTAAACCACAATATTATTATACACAGAAATAATTAAACCTTTTATGCACAAATAACATAGGTAGGAATAAATAATTTATCCATAGCAAAAATACTAAATGGTCTATAACATTCATTTATGAAATAAATACTATTTACTAGGCTAAAAACATTAGTCAGATTACTAAAAAGGAAAAAAAAATGCTTTTCCAGACAATACCAATGCCCCTTCTATGAAGGGGTTTTTGGTATGAATCCCACCCCCCTGAAAATTCTAGTAAGCTGTTTTGATTTATAGTCTTAAAAATTTAGCTTTTAAGACCCCCTTCCCCTTAGAACTTCTTCTTCTTCTGAATGACACATTACACAAAATATGTGATGATGCACTCTGGGTTGAGCAAACACCATATTCCTCTTACCAAGACACAATGTTAGGACCTCCTTCCCTGGACAGTTTCAGTGAGATGTGCCTCTGGATTGCCTTCTTCAAGTCATGCACAGTTGCATTTTGTATGACAACAACAGCTAAAAACATTAAAAAATTCATTTTCACTAAAAATTGAGTCAGGTGTTACTAACCGTGTAAATCCAAGGTTTGCATAAACTAATCATTTAACAACCGTAGAAACCCAGTTACGACATAATTAATTTGATATGTGACAAGACTCCAAAAGGCAGTCAATATTATTGTTTGTCTGACAAGTTAGCAATGAAATTACCACATACCCTCTTGTTTATCATCTTGTGAGCTTGGGTATCCTGTGGTGGTTCAATACCAGTTTAACTCACAGTGGCACTCTCATATAAATTGGGCAGGTTTACTCATTGGAAATTTTGAAAACAACCCTTAAGAGGCACCAAGATCCTGTGTTGTGGGTGTGGCCTGAAAAATTTTTATCAACCATAAGAAATACCAAATTATTCTGAAACAATACATTCTCTCCTGTCAAATTTTTTGAGCTCAATACCCTAAAAAGTGCCGGAAAAACTCTCGCTGTTGACCTTTTGAGGATGAACACCCTAAGAGGCACCAAAACTACGTTTTTAAGAGGGTCATACAGGGGTATTCTCGTGATGTGTGATTAGCTAATTGTATTTTCTGTGAAATATGAATTTAGGAAATTATTCTTCGTGACTTGTGACCTGAAGGTTTTGCGTGACCCGTGAAGAACCTGAATTATTAACTGATATTCATGATTTTACCACTCTATTCTATGTGATTTTCAGACACAAGTCCTCCGAATGGTAGAGTCTTCTATCGAGAGTGACTTAGACATGCGATTTGCAATATGGAGCCTTGACTTAGCCATTCGCGATTTTACTTTATTCAGACATTGCTTCTAGTGTAAGAACTGGTCGTTAAAAAGAGTATCTTACTTGCTTATTTTCGTGATTCGGGAAAACGAAATTTTTATATCCGTGATCCTCAATTTATCCCGTTCGTGAACCGTGCCAGAGATCCCCCTCCCCCCCACCCCACCCCCTGCACGACCTTCTTTTAACCCCTGACAGGTACGACGAGTAACCCCGTCCTATTTATTTGGGAGTGCCTCCAGCTGAGCTCCAACTGTTATCCCCCCGTTTCTGTTTTTCTTAGATCCATCACTGAACATTAATTCTACCCTGATTCTAACAGTATAAAAAGCTCCTTACGTAAAACAGTGTTCATCTCATCTTGTTGTCGAACATTCACCACAATAGCACGACCGTGTTCCAGAGCAATCTGAGAATTCACTTCATCAAGAGTGGGCTCACTTGGCAGCCCAATGAGCAAAGGATCACTCATTATCTCAGCCAGCTTTTCACTGAAGAGAGACATAACTTCGGGATGAGAAAGCCCGTCAATATTTTCCTCAACTTCACCATCTTCGTCCGCCATTTTGTGTTTTCCCTCCTAGACTTCTCTCAGTTCCTGACTCTAGAACCCAGCGCCCTGGTGAAGATTTGCGCAGCTCGGCGCCTGGTTTGATTTGCCTTGATAAGATAAGATTAACACTCGACGAAGATACAGTTAATTAGATAATGATTTTAAATGGAGAGGATCTCCAGGTTACAGCTTTGTAGTCTTTTTATTCTGTATTTATATGGATGCGCCACAGGAGCAAAGAAGAAGAAAGACTTAGAAACTATTGTCGAGGTAGGTATTTACTATGAAAGCTAATTTAGCTGCAGCCATAGTTAGTACATGAAAACTTAACACAAGCTCACATGTTTTCGAATTTTGATGGCAATTGCTGAGCGATTACACTTTTATTTCGCTTATCTGTTACTTTCAAGGCTGCAACGTATATCAAAAATGTCGGTAAATCACGTTATTTCAGATAAAACTCGCGGTTTATTGTCTTGTAGTAATGTACTGCTTTGCGTTTTTACTGGCGCGCAATTTAACACTCCCAAATTTATCACCGCTGTTGATTCAACGCGTTCTGAATTTTCAAGCAACGTAAACCGTTCTAGAGGTGTTCTGTAGAAAAAAACACTAAATAAATGTCCTAGTACATAACAACGTATTGGTCAACTCGACGGCAAAATGTTGCTATCGCGAAATTCGATATTTTCATAATTAGGGGAGACGAACTGAAGTTTGTTGCAATATTGACAAGAAGCTGTAAATTGTATTCCTGTAATTCTTGCGGTGAACTGAGCAGATTAGTCGTTTTTCTGCCGAAATACGCTCTAAGAAATCTATCACCCAAATTATATAAAGCACTAACCCTAAACCCTAAATGTTATTTTCAAATTTGAGAGAAAAAAACTCAAGTTTATTTTTAGATAAGGCTCGTAATTCGTTTAGTTCCTTAAACTTCCTTTCCACCAATCTTAGAAAACTAGTTGCAAATACTGAAATGTTTAACATTTTTTCAGATTCACAGCAACCACAGAAAAAAAAGAGGCTATTTGTTTTGCTGTACTTTTATTTTGTCTTTCCTGACTCATTGTTAGAGTATTATTTGAGAAAAATTGCTTAAATAAGTTCTTTCTGCTATGTCTCTGGTGTATTGCTTTGTTGACACTTTGCATATTTAAGACACAGCAGGTGATGTCAGTTGATGCTGAGAATCAATTATGCATGACAGTTCTCATCACTAAGCAGTGATTTTTATCTTAGCTTTTAAAATCAATTATTCATGATATAATTATTGTGGTTACAAATTGGTCTGCATAATGCCTCAAAAAATGTTCACTCTGGTTTGCATAGACTGATTTAATCAGGAATTTATCAACAAAAGTTTTTAAATAGTTCTTCATTTTCAGGAGTGAATCATTTATGATAAAATGGAAGTGCAGCTAAATAAACAGAGACTTATATACCTCAATTATAATTATGTTGAATTTCAGTATGTCTGCCTGAAATTGTCTTTTTTACTTTCTCTTTTACATTTTTCTTAAATAACAGTCAAGTAAAAATTACATGAAACTCTCCATGTGACTTCTCGCAAACACTGTCTTTTACTAAAATCATTAATATACAATAATGTTCCATTTTGCAATTTTAATAAAGTAAGATTTTTTTCAAAGTAAGTAAGTCTGTTATCAAATGATTTAAGTTGTTATGTTGAGAAATAATGTGTCAAAGTCAAGGTTATTACCTGGAGATGATCCACAAGAAATATGTGATGACTGATCATGACTTCCAGGCATTTTTAACTTTTCTCACGTTTAATTAAGTTATATGTTTCAGATTCTCATGACATAATGTGGCCAAATGATGAAATAGGGGAAAGGACTAACAGTTAAAAAGCTGATGATTATAAAGAATTTCTTCTTTCGCTTTGTAGTACAAGCCTGGCAACTGCAAAGACAAAGCAGATAATGGAGACATTGTATCTGTTCACTACACGGTGTGTATTTCTCGTGTTAATTTTGAAACAGTAACAGTGGCGTTAATGTTAAGGCCTCAATCAAATCATGCATTAACAGAGGCTTTGAACATAACAAATACTAATCAGACCATACCGACTCCATATAAGGTACTACTGAGTACAATTAGAAATTCACTTTTAATTTTTTAGTAACATTATTTTATTGAATCACTTAAATGTGAATATCAATGACTGTTTCAGGGTAAGCTCGAAAATGGCCAAATGTTTGATTCGTCTCTTGCAAAAGGAAGAGAACCCCTTGAATTTCAGCTGGGCAAAGGAAAGGTCATAAAAGGTAACTTTTGCAAACCTTTCTTGATGTACAACCACAAAATGCAATCAAATCTGTATCAGTACTTTGGTTGGTTATAGCCTAAGACTTCTTAATAATAAAATTATTTTAAAATTTTCCTTTTTGGTAGGTTGGGAGATGGGCATAAAAGGAATGTGCATTGGGTAAGTTTCTATAATTTAGAAGATACATGTAAACATGGATTGATTGACTGACTGATTAACGGTTTGATTGACAGACAGACAGACTGATTGACTGCCCAGCTGATTGATTGAATGCCTCAGTGCCTGAATGATTGACTGTCTGATGGACTCACTGATTGATTGAGTGGCTGGCTAATTGACGATTGGTTGTAAATATGTAATGTAAAGCCAGCATAATGTAGGAGTCAATGAACAAGTCTGCAAGTTAACTATTGCCTTGAACCCCTTTTTTGCATATTATTCTAACTCATAAAGAAACTAGTAAAATGTTGATGACATCCTTGTTTCATTTCAGTGAAAAAAGGAAGTTGATTATACCTCCACATCTAGGGTATGGGACTCGTGGAGTTGAGAATGTCATTCCTCGTGAGTACATGTGTTTTGATCAAACTTAGACTTTAACTTCCAATTAACCAAGGCCCTAGTATTTTTAGAGGACAATATTTAATGAATGCGCATTCCGGGAAATATCCGCACCCTGGTCCCATGTGGACATGTCTAGCCTCAAAAACAACCGGTCTAGGTGTTCACTTGACGACAGTCCAGTTTGGGAACAGAATGGTTCTAGAACTGTGGATGTGGGCTCAGTGTGCAAAACAAGTGGTATCAGATAGCCTAGGACTAGTGAATTTTAAAATCAGCCTAGTTGATTCTTTCCTTTGTTTGCCCGAGGGGAGAGCGACATTTTTTGGAGAAATCTTTAAGGACATTCAGTTACAGAGGTATAGCCGTGTCCTGTTAAACAATTAGATTATGAGCCGGAGTTTTCTACCAGCAAATAGTCAACAAGGCGCAGCCAAGTCGACTATCGCTCATAGAAAACAAGGGTGAGTAGTCTGATTGTTTTTAGATGTTCTAGAGGATTACAGCAAAAAACCTACAATTGTGTATTTTAAGCCTCAGATTAAGAATAATTTTCAGTTTCAAAAGTAGCGTATGTGCGATCAGTTTCTCAGCAAATAGAAAACCCTGAGAGAACCAATCAGATTTGCAGATTTCCAATAGAACACTGTTGAGTGGCTATTAAAACAAATTATGCCTGTACAAAATTTTCAAGGGACTAGCGAGAATGACTTTCAGGCTGGTACATCACAATTACGGCTTGCCCAAAAGGGAAAGCTCAAAAATCACTTTTCTATGCAGCCAGTCAGGTCATGTATGCATTGGGATGCATCAGATCTTCACAATCCTAATACACTCTTTCTTTTTCCTCATCACACAGCAAACTCTGTGCTGATATTCACCACTGAACTTATGTCCATAAAGAGGAAGTCACTCTTTGACCCAAAGTTGCTGCTACAAATAGGATTTTGGCCAATACTGGCTGGAATGATTTTGTATTACCTATATAGAAAGGCATCTAAAGAACCTACTAAAGCTGAAGCCAAGTCAAGCAAGAAAAATAAAAAGAAATAAGACCCTTTCTCTGTTGTTCAGTTTCTACGTGAAATGAATTGTATACTAAATGTGTTATGAATAGCCCATTTCCGAGTTGCCTTGCGCCTCTGTGTCAAAACCAGTCTTCGTTCGCAACCATTTATATGGAAATGTTTCCCGGCTGCTTACTTGTTCATTTTCATGCATATCAAACTCATTTTCATATGAAAGGTTTTGCACAAGGACTTGTTTTCAAACAGAGACAAAAGGTAATTTGGAAATGGCCTATTTTGTTACTTACATAAAAAACTAGCTACTAGGCTAATATTATGTCTGACAACAGACCCTCTGTTTTGTCTTGAGTTCATTGAGATTACAAGCTTAGTGTACGTGGGATATGAATGAGCTCGTGTGCTCAAAGGAAAATAATTCTAGCAAAAAGAAATGTCTGTGGACAAACTAGCTAATATCAACAAGTGGATAACACTTTCAAAACAAAGAATTAAGCCAGAAGGACTGGAAAAGTTTAATTTTCTGTGAGCATTTTACACCAATATTTAT